CCAAAATAGAACAATAACTCCTACTAAAAATGTTCTTTAAAATCATAACTTGGCCTTTTATGACATTTTATAAAATGCAATTGTATTTCTTTTTAAGTGTTTGTTATTTTTATTTTTCTTCCTTGTCTTCTGAAAGTTTATTCTTTGGGGGAAGATTGCAAAGGAAATTTGGAAACTTCCTTGTTGCCAAACTAAATCAAAGGCAGAGCTATGTCTTGCTTTTTTGCTTAAAGCAGGAGATGCACAAACAGCCATTTGGCTCTGGGTGGAGGAGAAGGAGGCTGGAGTAGCCTGGATCTGGCTTGGGGGCCCGCCTCCCTCTTCCCTGCTCTGTCTCTGAACTGCTTCTTCATTTCACGTGAGGCCCAGCCTCTCTTCTGTAAAATGGGAATAACATGTCACAACTGAGGAGGAAAGGACTCAGGTTCTGAAAGTCTCCCACACCGTCCTTGGCTCCTGGTAGGTAGTTAACCCTGTCCATTCACATCCCTGCCCGTTAGTGACCTGGAAGGTGGGACTTGAAAAAGGGCCAGAGACTCAGAGCTTGATCTGTGGTCAGTACCATCTGCTACCCACGCCCACGTGTTGCCTGTGGGCCTTGAACGTGGAGGAGTAGCTGTGTGGTCTTTCAGAATCAAAGGGCATCAGTGCCTGGAGCTTCCTTCGAGATTGTCTAGCACAACCCCTCATCTCACAGGTGAGATCTAGAAAGATGATCCATCTTGCTACCTGTGACTCCCAGGGGAGCCATCCCTGACTCTGTAAGATTTCCCTGACCTGCTGCATGGTGTAGGCCTCGACCGTGGTGTGGGGCAGCTCAGTGCTGGCACAACCCTCAATAGTTACTGAGCATCTGAGCCACGATAAGCACCTTTGTACACTCTGTGGATGCAGCTGTGAACAAAACAGACAGAATGACTGAGTAGAAGGCTTGACCCAGCAATAAAGTCATTTCAGAAGGTGGTAAGTGCTCAAATGAAAGTGAACAGGACAGTGGGATAAAGGGGGTGTGAGCTGCCCAGAGTGGTCAGGGATGAAACCCCAGAGGTGGGGACATCGGTGTTGAGACCTGAAGGATGGGAAGGAGCCCACCACGCAAAGGTCTCAGGGGAGGTGGTGTTCTGTGCACCTTCCCTACGTGGAGGATACCAAGGTGAGCTGAACTGGGGCCCTAGACCCCAGGGCAGCACGGCCCGGCAGGACTTCCTGCAGTGATGGAAATGGTCTATAAATCCATCCACAATGGTAGTCTTAGTCACGCCCAATGACTGAACACTTGGAATGTGGCTATTGCAACATTAACTTTGATTAACTGAAGTTGATATTTAAATAGTCACTTACAGCTAGTGACCGCTGCATCAAATATCAGGGAAGAGCTCCATGGAATCTCATGCCGGTAGGGGAGGCAGACAGTATCTCAAGTAGCTTAAATACAGGGTGAGGGATGGCAGAGCCTTTGGTGGAGGCACAAACAGAACATGAGAAAGATCAAGAGAGGGAGAGATTTTTATAGCCAATTCTGGCTGTAAAAATCCAGGGATGGGCTCTTCAAGTTAAGCTGGGCTTTGGTAAAGGCTGGGTGGGGGCTTTGCCTGGCAGAGCTGAGTGCATTCCCAGCAGAAGGGGCCGAGTGAGCCAATGCTTGCAGGGAGAAGATGTGGCTTTTTGGAGACATGTAAAACATCTGCTGAGCATAAACTAAGTGCCAGGCTTGTTGCTCAGCCTTTTAATATACACATGACTATTTTTTTTTATCTGTTCAGTGTTTACAGGATTACTTGTTGTCATCCCCATTATACAGATGGGGAAACTGAGGCTCTGAGGAATTAGGGACTTGCTTGGCAGGGGTGCTGCAGGGTCTGCACTCAGGGCTGTCTGATTCCAAAGCCTGGGCTCTTGGGTCCCACACTGTAAGCCCCCCATGACCTCCAGGCGTGTGAGTCAGTTAAGACCTGGTGAACTGCCGGGCTGACGGGAGGTCAGAGTGGCGAAGGGCACAGGCTCTGGTGTCCCTTCTGCCACCCACCAGCCGTGTAAATCTGGGCAAGACAGCACATGTGTTAAGACTCTTTTTCCTCAAATGTCCAGTGGGCATAAGAACAGGGCAGACGTTTGGGCTCTACTGCAATATGTATACACATACATATCTCCGAAAAATCTCATGTTTGCAAAATGATGCTCAAAAATAACAGGGCTGATGGGAAAACTAGAATTAGAGACAGGCAAAACCCAAACCATGACACTTTTAACCAGAGG